CCCCCCCACCTGCCCAGGTGCTGCCTGGCCCTCTGCCTCGGCCATGGGCGGGGCGGGAGAAACCCCGTCTGCGTCTTTTCTGCTTGAAGCAGCTGCGGGGCCGGGAGACGGCTCGGGACATTGGCCTGGTCGCCGGAGGCCGCTCGCTCCCACTTCATCTGGGTTGGCGTTTGCGCTGCAGGGCGGCATCTCACCCCAGGGTCAGGACCCGGGGTGGGCCTGCGGGGAGCCCGCCTTTCTCCCGCTGGAAGCATGGAGCGTGGTCACGAGGGGCTTTGGCCCTGGAGCGCGGGGACCGTCCTCAGTAGATGAGGGTCCTGCTGCCGGGGACGCCGCCGCTGGGGAGCCGTGCGTGGTGAGCACGAGGGTCCTTGCTCTGCCCGTCTCAGAGTGAGGCTCCCTCCGCCCACAGCATTTGGCGTGGGGATGAGGCGTGGGCCGGGGCGATGGGGGTGGGTGGCCTCAGGTCCTGGGTCGAGGGGCCTGTGGCGTGGTACTGCTGTGTCATCACACCCGTGCTCCGGCCACCACTGGCTTGGGCACAGACCCACATGGTGCTCCTGGCGCCCGGCCGCTCTGCTTGGGCTCATGGGTCGTAGTTAATCACGACAGCGCAAGGAGGACATGGCTGACGTGGGAGCCCAGCCACTGCCTGGGCCGCCATTCTCCAGACCTGGACCGACCTTGGGGCCGTGGCCAGGGTGCTGAGTCCAGAAGTGTTCACAGGAACAACGGGAGGCGGTGGGCGGGGCGTCTGCGAGCCCAGGCGCAGGATGAGCGCACGGACTCCGGGTCTTACGATGTGGGGTTGGTTCTGGGCCTGGGTTTGTCGCCTCGGAACTGAGCGGAAGGGGCTGGGCCCCCTGCTGTGCGGGGACATCTGGTAGCCTGGGGTCTTGTTTCTCGGTTGGCTCTGACATAACAAGCTTTAAAATCCAGCGTGAATGCTGTGGGGATTCTGAAGCACACTGAAGTGCACATTTAAAAGGCACAGACGTAAGGGTAGCTCACGCCCTTCACGTGCTTGCTTATAAGTGAACAAACTGGTATGAAAAATTAAGGTCAGAGGCAGCCATGGCTTGATGTCTGCACCGGGCGCGTGCTCCACCTGCCAGTCTCTGTGGCCTGCCCCACCTGCTGGCTCTGGCTCAGGCGTTTATGGGAGGGAGCGGGGCCGCCTCAGGAAGAGCCCTGGGGGCTGAGGTGAGTACCGCTTCCACCCAGAAGCCTCTTGAAGGACAGACTCGCCTTGGGAGCCGGCGTGGGCACAGCGCATGAGGGGCGGGCCAGACGGCGTGCTCACGGCGCAGGGTCTCGGTCTGGGGCGTCCCGGGTCTCCGAGCGGATTCTGGGGATAATGTCCCCAGACAGTGGAGGCCTTGTTCTGTCGGCTCACCTCATCTTTGCTTTCAGTACCGCAAACGTTTGTACCCCGATTCTTCAACGAGTCTGCCAGGAACCAAGGGAAAGCTTTTAAAGAGTTTCCTGCGTCCTTTTCCCTTCGAGGGAGGCCCACTTTACCCGTCACGTTGTTTTAGGGGGCACAGGCGAGTGCTGAGCGAGCAGCTGAGTTATGTGCGGTGCAGCTGCCCGGGCACTTTCCTAGGTGGGGTGTGAGGTCGGGGCCCTGTGGGGAGAAACCCCCGGGGGGAAGGGGGTTCCGGCTGTCACCTGGACCTCGCTGGCCAGGATGGGGCCGCGGGACGAGGCACCGCCCGTGCCTGGCAGCCCGTGCCCATGGCTCCCTGTCTCCGCAGCAACGAGCTGAGCATGACGGCAGATTCCCGCCTGAACCTGCTGGACGACGGCACACTGATGATCCGGAACACGCAGGAGACGGACCAGGGCGTTTACCAGTGCATGGCGAAGAACGCGGCCGGGGAGGTGAAGACGCAGGAGGTGACCCTCAGGTACTTTGGGTCTCCAGGTACGTGGAGCATCTCACGCGGGAGTCCTTCCAGAACTGGCCGTCCTCGGCCCGCGTCCTCCTTCGGCCCAGTAGTGGAACATGAGTCCATGCAGGGTCCCCGGCTGGAGGTCCTGCAGCGGGCCGGCCCGCGTGGCGTGGCTTTGCAGCGGTCACAGGTGCTTCGTGGCCGTTGCTCCGGCCTGTGGTCAGCCCCTAATGCAGGTCAAACACTCAGGAGGCAGTTGAGGCCGGCGGCGCTGTGGGCGGCTGTCCGGAGGGTGCCGTGGGCACTTGCAGAGGCCACGGCCGGCCCTGCCCCGGCCATGCTGTCCTAGGGACGGTGCTGGTGGTGGCCATCTGCTGGTGGGTCTCCGTCGTGCCAGGAGCTTCAGTTACTGAAGAAGCAGCCAAAGTCTGGATTTTTAGGCAGACTTCCCACATGCGAAGTGTTGGGACCTGGTTTTGAAAGATCTCGTCAAGCGAGTCAAGCTGTGGCCCCAGCTGGCCTGGGCCCCGTCAGGCTGTGACCCTGCTCCTGTCGGCCTGTTGGGCCCATGGGCTTCGTGCAGAAGAGCAGGTGGCCAGAGGCGGCGCCCCTACAGGCACGCGTGGGCTTTGCTTCCGCAGGGCGGCCAGCACATGCGGCCCCACCCAGGACGGTCCCACCATGTGGCCTCCGTGACACCGTCCCGCCACCCACAGCTTCCTCGGTCTGCCACCCCGGGTCTGGCTGCCCTGGGACTCTCTCCGGCCATTGTCGGTGGCGCCGCTGGTGGCTGTATGTGATTCTTTTAGATTCTTGGCTCTTAAAACAAAACGTGTTTGCGTCACGTGGTCCCGCAGTGTGACCGTGTCATGGGTCGTGTTTCTTAATGAGCGAGAAGTCCTGGTGCCACGTCTCAGCTCAGGAGGACAGAGGGACACGGCAGCCAGATCGAGCCCTGGGCGCCCGCTCCCGGCTCTCCCAGAGCCCCACGGTGGCTGTGTGCACACCGAGGGCACAGCCCTGCACCCAGGGAGCCTGGGCAGCACGCGCGAGGAATCAGAGACCTACGGCTGTGGGCGGGGCGAGGTCAGGCCACAGCCACGGCACAGACGGGAGCACAGGGCCAGGCTCCCCGGGTCCCAGACTGTGTTTGCCATCTCCGTGCAGCCCTGAGCAGCAGCCTGCTTTCCCGTCCTGGTCTGAGCATGGGGGCGTACCTTCCCTGTGCCCCGAGTGCTCCTACCACCTGTGACAAGGTTGCTGTGATGCAGGACCTGCCTGGTAGCAGCCGGTCAGCCTGGGACGGGCTGGCAGATGGCCTCCTGCGGGCCGCCTGGCCCACTGCCTGTTTTCTAAGACCCGGAAACTGAGGATGGTTTCATGTTCTTATGTGGTTGACAGACTTAGAGTTTTTAGGATCCATGGTAATTACAAGAAAGTGAAATTTCAGTGTCTGTAAACTGAGTGTTAGCAGAACACGACCACATCCGTTTGGTTACGTGTCAGTGGTATCTGCGGCGGTGTCTGCGGCGGTGCCAGACCTGAGTGGTGCGACAGAGTCCGGCCTCGAATCCTGGAACATGCCCCAGCCCTTTACAGAGAGAGTTTGCTTGTCTTGTCCCCAGACTGGTGACACTTTGTAGGAACAGCAGACTGATTTGTGGCCTCTGGGTCGCAAAGGGTTAACTATGCTTTGGGAATTTTGAAGCTCTGCCATCTGGGCATCTAGTTTTTATCGTCCTCCTGAATTAAAGTTTGCTTGTAACCACTTCACCTGTTGGTGCCTTCGGCCTCAGAGCTGGTTTGGTTCAGTGCGGGTGCGCCGGCTCTCCTCTGACGCGTCTGTCCGCGTGTCCGCTCCGCCCTCCTGCTCTGGACCTTTCTACGTGCGTGTGTTCCCAACGCTCGTTAGAAACAGCATAGAATTAGATTTAAAAATTCAGACAGATGTTTCCTTAAAGCGAGTCCATTCATGTTTATGGTAGTTAGCAACACGTTTATGTTTATAAAGTCTACATCTTATTTTCGACTATCCAATTTTTTCTCTTTCTTGCCTTATTTTGGAATAATCGTTTTTCCACCTTCCATTTTCCTAGTTCTAGGTGGGAAGTTGCACTCTGCCTCTCTTATTTCAGTGGCTGTCCTGGAGAGCTTCGAAGCATTCGTAAATCACAGGCTGCGTGGCGCTGGCTTTGCCTGTTGCCCACATGCACTCCCCCAAGTCTGTGAGCTGGGTGCTGTGGTTTCTCAGCCTGTGAAACATCGTTACTGTTTAGCTGTCAACGTCTGCACCCAGGTGCCAGTTCTCTCCCGCTGTGTCTTTCTGCATCTCAGCTCTGCCACTGGGGCCACTTTTCTTCTGCCTAATGTGGAGGGGATTTAGACAGCAGGCCCCCTGGAGGGCCAGCTTTTGGTAAATAAGGCTGAAATGAGACTTCTCTCCATTCCACTCAGCATAGTCCCCTGGGTGGGGCGGCAGGAGCTGACTTCGCCTCTAGGTCCTCACGCGGCGGCGTGGCACCTCGGGGCCTGCGTCCAGTTCCCTGGCCAATTCTCATCCTTTGGTCTTTGCATCTGTTGGCAGACAGATGGAGCCTCACTGGGCTCTGCACCTACCCAAGGTGCTCCTGGCTTCGGTGTCCCTGTCCCTGTCAACACCGTCACAGCGTCTCCGTCGCTGTCTCAGGAGATGCTGACGTTCACGTCATCTCTCCACTTCCTGTAGTTTGTTGTTACTTGCTGTTTGACTCGTGAAGCTCAATCACTGACTAACGACAGAAGATGCAGGCAGTCTGTCCCTGCCCCTCTCCGTCACCCACTCAGTCCCTGCCTGCCCCCCACGCCTGCTGCCTTCAGCAGCTGCTTCATCCACGCACCGTCCGCTGCTGCGTCCCGCTCGGCCCCGGGCCTGCTCTTCCTCCCTAGAGCTGCGGCAGACTCCACTGTCCAGATGCAACATGACCTGTTTCACCAGTTCCCTTTGGGAGAACATTTAGGGTTTCCCCCCCACAAATCTCTTGCTGTCGCAGGTCTGTATCCCTTTATCCAAAACCCCTTGGGCCAGATGTTTGAAATTCAGAAGTTTGGGAACTATTTTCAGAAGGGCCGCTTGGTGTAGAATGTGTTTAATAGGCTTGTACACCCTGTAAGCAACACATAGCGTCCTGTGGCCAACAATGTTAATAGTCTTAGAGGAAAAATGAAGACCCAGCACCGTCATGCTGGGTAGATCAACTTTTACAAACAAGTTAGGAAAAGATGTTTCATTTTCAGAGCTTTTTGAGTTCCAGGATTATGGATGACGGTGTGCACATACATCGTTTCTCGTGTTTGCTGTGTATCTGTAGGGTCGGTTCCTAGCAGGGTAATTTTTGGGGACAAGGGTGTGAGGGTTTGTAAATGGGACATACACGGCCGTGCTTCTGTCCAGGGGGCCGTGCCCGTGGGCGCCACTGATGTGTGGGAGCTCGGTTCCTGCAGACTCACCCACGAAACGTGTGGGTTTTTTTCTAGATTTAGACTTAAAAGATATTATCTCAGTGTAGTTTTAATTTGTGAGTGAAATTTGATGATTTTGTATGTTTTGAATACACTTTAAAACACAATGGTTTATACCAAGAACTGCTACCAGCAGGATTTAATAAGATGGACATTAATGCATTCAGGATAAACAAAAGTAAGAATTCTGCAGAGTTCAGTCCAGCTTACAGGAGTCAGTCGCTCTTATCGCTCAGAGCTGCTAAGGCAGTGGGCCATTTTTGTTTTCTGCCCATTTCTTTGAAAAAGTATGGAATTAAATTTTGTTTGACTGAGGTTAGAGGTCAGTAGAGTAACATGAAAATAGAAAAACTCAAGCACTAAGCTGTTGCGAAACTGGAGGAAACTAATTCAGAACTTGTGTTTCGTCGTGACAGCTCGGCCCACTTTTGTAATCCAGCCGCAGAACACGGAGGTGCTGGTCGGGGAGAGCGTCACCCTGGAATGCAGCGCCACGGGCCACCCGGCGCCTCGGATCACCTGGACGAAAGGTGACCGGACGCCCGTGCCCGTGGACCCGCGCGTGAGCGTCACACCCTCTGGCGGCCTGTACATACGGGATGTCACACAGGAGGACAGCGGGGAGTACGCCTGCTTCGCCTCCAACAGCGTCGACAGCATCCACGCCACGGCGCTCATCATCGTGCAGGGTGGGTGTCGGGCAGCACGGAGACGCCCCCTCCCAGTGGGCTTGCTGCGCTCCGCCCGCACTGGCCCTGTTTTACTGGCCCTGCCGTGCTCACCAGCGCGGACTCCGCATGTACACGTGGATCGGTGACTGGCTGCTTTTCTGAACTGATGCTTCAGAAGGACAGGCTTTGTTTTCTGCCTGTTTGCCCGAAGCGTTTGGTGGCTACATGGATGTGGATGTGTGCGTGTGCGTGTGCGCTTGTCTTAAGCGGGACGTCTTCATACATCTTGGAATCAACTTCCCTGGGTCAATTTTGGACACCAGAGGCTGAGGATGTGCAATTTTAAGACGTATACTGTATGTTTCCAAATTTCTTAATTGACTCTACAATGAGTTTGTTAGTTTTTAAATAGAGCACAAAGCGGGACACTTGTTGGGAGGCAGGACGGTGTGGAAATGCAAAGCTCCTCTCTCTCCACCAACTTCTGCCTCCGGCGGAAGCCAGCTCCCTGGCTGTTTGCCATTATTCCCTGTCCGCCCTCTGCACCTGCAGCTGTGCCCGCTGGCGATCGTCAAGGTGGAGACACAGCTCTTTCTTTGCTGTGGCTGTTAATTTTATAAAGATGGAGTCAAACTAGATATACTGTACTGTGGTTTTCACCCAAGAATCACAAAGTAACCCGTCACCAAACACAGTTGTTACTTAATGACCAGTTTGCCGGCTTGTAGGTCCTGACTTAGGGTGCGGACTGAGAGGGATCGCCAAGCCGGGCCGTCCTCGAGCTGGCACTGGCGAGCTGGCGCTGGCATCAGACCCATCTGTCTGCACTTCTCGGGGCGCTGCCGGGAAATGCCCGCCACCTGATCTCCTTGTGCTTTACTTTCCACCCTTCAGTGTCCTCTCTGCCTGCTTCTGTACCCAATAGTAGATCCTGTTAGAACTTGTCACCTTGTCGCTTCCCTTGGAGAAGGACAACACCAGCCCCAGTTTGAGCACGTTCTCAGCAACGCTGTCTTTTTGATGTCGCGTTCCCAATGTTTCTCCTTCCGGCAGCTCTTCCTCAGTTCACTGTGACCCCTCAGGACAGAGCTGTGATCGAAGGGCAGACAGTGGACTTCCAGTGCGAGGCCAAGGGCCACCCACAGCCGGTCATCGCCTGGACGAAAGGAGGTGAGACCCCGACCTGGTCCCTTGGCTGTCACTCCTCTCTCTCCCTCCACAGATGGAGACCAGCTCCGTCCTTGCCTGGCTGGGCAGGACGCAGTGATGGCCAAGCCCTGTGTGGCCCAGGCTCTAGTGAGGGCACAGGTGTCTGCATGTCCCAGCTGCAAGCAGTGCCGCTTGCATCTACTGAAGGGACTTGGGTGTGGCCTTGGGCTGGCTCACCTCCTCCCATGTAGTCTGGGTCTTGCCTTTAGTGTGCACTTAATTAGCACTAAATGAAGTGTAATGACGTAGGGTAGAACGTTCTGGAAACGAGCAATGGAGTGCATTAAAAAACGCTTTTGCTCTCACTTTGATTCCGAGTGCTCCCGCCTGTCCCCCACTGCGTCAGGCCAGTACTCCCTGATGGGTGAACTGCTGGACACATCCTTGAGACACAGAGGTGACAGCAGCCTGGCTGAGAAGGTCAGATGAGGGAGGCAATGCCCAGGCTGCTGGATTTTCTGGATTTTGTCTTGGACTCAGCAGGGTGACCTTGACAACCAGCCGAAGACGCCCACCTTGAACCAAAGGGTAGCTCTGTCCCTTTGTCGCCTGAGGGCCTTTCCAGTGACCCTACACTCCCCTGGGGGAGACGTGCATGCACTCACAGCTTGCACCCTGTTCCTGGGCAGGAGAGGCTCACCTGGGGACGTGTGACGCTCCGCTTCCCTCCCGTCCCTGCCTCTACACAGATGTGTCCTTTTACGGCGGCGTGGGGACCAGCCAACCCCAGCACCGCGCGTCCCTGCCCGGCCGGCCCTGCTCGTACCTTTCTCCTCTCTCTTCTGCCCCTCACCCCTTCTGGGGGCATGACTGGGGGCAGGGGCCGTGTCCTGTTTGTCCTCGACCTGGCCGCATGCAGCTTGTGCTGGCGTGTCATACAGGCGTGTCATGGGCGTCTGCTGACCAGCAGGCCAGGACAATGGGCCCAGGCTCGGGCAGGGACACGTTCCTGCAACCTTTTCATTTCTCAGATATAAGTTCTGACTCACGTGTGCCTGACGCCACGCCCGTGCGTCCATGTGCCTGACCAGTGCCTCCGCGCCTTCCAGGCAGCCAGCTCTCGGTGGACAGGCGGCACCTGGTCCTGTCGTCGGGGACCCTCAGGATCTCGGGCGTCGCCCTGCACGACCAGGGCCAGTACGAGTGCCAGGCCGTCAACATCATCGGCTCGCAGAGGGTGGTGGCCCACCTGACAGTGCAGCCCCGAGGTGCGTGTGGGCGGCATCCTGCGGGCGGGCCTGGCTGCTGTGCGCAGACAGTTCCCGAGGGGCTGGGCCTCCGGCCAGCGTCCACGTCGCCTGAGCTCCGAGGGGCTCTTTCGAATAGCAGTTTCCTCCCACGTTCTCTAGATGCTAGGTTGTCACTCGCTGCTTCTCTGTCGCCTGGGTTAACATTTATTTTTTAACGACGCTCATGCTGGACAGTTTCGGCGTAATGTCGCCCGGTGTTTTCACCGGTTAGTCAGAATCGCGTCCGAGAAGGGCTGCTGCACCTCCCCCGGGCGGTTGCTGAGGCAGCATGACGTCTGACTGGCCGTGGGCAGTCCCTGACCGGGCCCTGGGGCGGGGTCCGTTTCCTGTTTGCCCTGAGTGTCCGGCCCTGCTTTCCTGCTGTCCCCTTCGGAGGGCCCATCTGTGTCCCCCAGAGGGCGCATGCTTCCTGGTGTCTCTAGGACACAGAATACACGTCTGCGGGTGCAGAGCCACGGAGCCCACGCGGGGCCAGGCCTGTCTGCGGGTAGGGTGGGGAGGTGGGGTCTGAGGGGCGGACCCGGGCCCCCACTCCCCAGCTGTGTCTGCCCTGACCGCCCGGCTGGCTCTCGCTTTGCTCTTCTCGCTCCCAACTGGGCAGGACTCTAGGTGGCCTGTCAGGCAAGAGCTGGGGGAGGGTCCCCGAGAGCCTACCAGGACCTGCCACTGCACACAGGGTGAGCTCAGCTCCCCAGTGCAGGCTCGGGGGGTCCCTCCATCCTGCTTCGCTCTTGGGGTCACGGGGCCTTGTACCCCGGCCCCTCGGCAGGGCTCCTCCGGGTCTGCAGTCTGTTGGCGGGCGATGGACAGTCCAGCTGCTTCTGACTGATGGGGTACTCGGGGTGCCGATCACGAGTCTCCTTGGGCTTGCCACGATTGTCAGAAGTGCGCCCTTGCCTTCTAGTCACCCCGGTGTTCTCCAGCGTTCCCAGTGACGTGACGGTGGAGGTGGGCACAGACGTGCAGCTGCCATGCAGCTCCCAGGGGGAGCCCGAGCCAGCCATCACCTGGAACAAGGTAGCGCGGGGCTGACTGCCACCTGCCCGCTGCTTCTGTAGACTTTGCACAGCAGGGAAAACACCCAGATCGCAAGCCTGAGTTTAAAGGTTCTGTGGTGTCCTTGCCAATCAGAACAGGACAGACAGGCTCGGGACGGTCTCATTTTCACGGCCTCTTGGGGACAAAACCAAGGCACCCTCTTGATAGATCTTCGATTTTATAATCAACAGAGAAGGTTTTTTTTGTCTTTTTATTTTACTGCATTGTTTCTACTAAGCCCAATAAACATTCAAATGAGACGTGACATGACATGGAGGACGGGGTGGCCATGTGCAGCGGTTCCCTCAAAAGGAACCGTGGGTTCTCAGGGCCGGTGAAGACTGTCCTCCCCAGCTTCCTCTCTGCTGGGATGCCGCCGTCCTTCCTGGTGTGGCTCGGGCGTCCTGTCTTCCAGTGGACAGTGCCCAGGGCCCTGGGTGCCCAAGCTCTGCACCTCCGCCCACGGTGCATGTCCCACGGGCGTGGCCTTGTGTGTCCCCGGCCAACCCTGATGAGCCCTGGGAGCACAGTCTGCGCGTCCCTGTGCTCCGGGTCTTCTGCAGGCGTGTGAGCAAAGCCTGTCCCTCTGAGCTGGTATCGGGCTAATTGGTTCAGTCTCCCTTCCCCAGTTCTGGGTGGATCTGAGAGGCTGGCATCCGTGGGACTCCAACAGACGGAGTCCCGCCACCCAGGATGAACACCGTCTGCTTCCAAGTCATTCCTGGGGTGGTGTCTGCTGTGTTTTCCTCCAGGATGGGGTGCAGGTGACCGAGAGCGGGAAGTTTCACATCAGTCCTGAGGGCTTCTTGACCATCCACGACGTGGGGACCGCGGACGCAGGCCGCTACGAGTGCGTGGCCCGGAACACCATCGGGCAGGCCTCTGTCAGCATGGTGCTCAGCGTCAGCGGTAAGCCCCCCAGGTCGGCGTGTTTGCTGCTGGCACAGACTGTGCACCCACGTGGGCTGAAGGCCCCAGAGGCAGGTGCACTTCCAGGCCGATGGGGGAGCAGGCATCCACACCCCGAATGTGCTCGGAGGCCCTGCAGAGCCTCCCGCTCTCAGCTTGGTGGTGGGGTTAGTGGTCACCTAAGCCCCTTGAGTCTGCCAGTGTGTATGTCACAGTTGTCATGTGGCAGAGGTGTGGATGCTGTTCACCGTGCCCGGGAGGCTGGGCCCTCCGCTTGCGCCTACTCCAGGTGAGCGCTGCATCCTGAGGGTCCTGATGTGACCTCCAGTGACCAGCGGCTATCCCCACACTGTCCGTAGCCCCGGACCACGCCCATCCCACTCTATGAGTGGCCCGGCATGGCTCGCCCCTGGCGTCCAGCAGGCCCCTGTTTGCTTTTGCTCTGTGCCCACGCTGCCTCCGTCCTCCCAGAAGTATACAGCTGGGCGTCACTCACGCTTCACGTGTCTGTGGCCCTGCGGTAACGCCCACACCCTTGAGCTTTGCTTCGTCTCAGGTGGACCCAAACCTGCGTCTCCTCACCTGCACAGCGTCCCCCAGCTCGCTTTGTGCCCCTTGCAGCCCTGGCAGAAAGCCTTACTTCTGGGTTCTCTCGCACACGCAGCCCGCCCACGGCCCTCCACACACCTGCCCTTTGCTTTCTCCACGGGCCTGTGAACGCTCAGACGGAACCGCTCAGTAATTTACACGCCCACCCGCACACCCCATCTTGGACCTGTGGGCGCCTGCTAAATGTGAACCAGAAAGGAATAAGTGCAAGCCTGTTGGCTTTTAGGGAAAAGAGTTCAATGACTTTATTCCCCCATTATAAGTAGCGTGTAAAGTTAATATTAAGTCGATGAATCCTAGGACTTAGAAACTGTGTTCTCAATATTTTTAAACAATGTTACTTTAACATGAATTGTTATATATGAAACTTGAAAATAATCTCCCACCCCCAAGAAATAACCACCATTAACGTTTTGGTGAATTTTCTTTATAATTTTTAAAGATAGATAAATATTTTCATATTTACCTACCATTGTTAGAGAAAAAACAAATCCAATTTAAACCACTAATAATGACATTAATTAGTGATAAAATTGTGTAGAATCGTCTGTTTCATTCGTCTACCCTTGGTCTAAAAGTATTTGCTCCCAAGAATTAGTGAATTTGATCCCTGTTTGAGATACACAGAAATAGGGATTCTGCCTAGGGAAGGTTCTTTTCAGCTGTTTGAATCGTGCACGTGTAAATTTGTCACATTTACCTGCTCAAGCTTTAAGCTCCGGTGTGTGGCAGAGGCGGCTGGGCTACAGCGTCTGGAGAAGCAGCACAGGTGACGGTGGCTTGTGCCTGTGCGTCGCAGACGTGAGGGGTTGCGTCAGGCTGCGTTGGGGCCCGAGGGGACAGGCCCCAGGGGTCAGTATGCAGGTGCTGGCGGAGGGATGCGAGCGAGCAGCCGTGAGGACCGGCCGGGCCCCAGCGGTCGCCAGCATGGTGGGCGGGGAAGGCGCCCTGAGAGGTGATTTCCGAGGCGGAGGCCGCGTGGCAACTGACGGTGACGAGCCGTCTCCGGAGATGAGAGATGGGTCACGCAAGGTTATGGAGCAAACTCTACCGGAAAAAGTTAGGCGAAAACAGGCGGAAACTAGAGACGGGCAGTTGCCTGGGGTTTGAGTTGGGCAGTGTGTGTGCGCGCACACGCGTGGGGCGTAGTGATGCGCCGATGGCGGTGACACATCAGGTCCTGAGGGGATGGGACCGGCTTGGCCCGAGTCCGCGCCGCCACCGTGGTGTCTTACATTACAGCCACGCCTTCCCGATCCTTCTGTGCGATGTCATGTCGTTTAAAATTAAAAGTCTGTAATTCCTATCCGGTTTGAAAACAGCTTCCGGTAGAACGTGTGACAGCAGTGTGAGCTTTGGTGTGAGTTGGAGAGGAGTACTCCCCGCTCTGCGCGCCGCGGCGTCGAGACGTCAGTCACGCGCACGCGCCTCAGGCCTGCGCGACGCGGTGTCGAGACCTCTCTAGTGCGCGTGCGCCTCAGGTCTGCGTACGCGGCGTCTAGACGTCAGTCACGCGCATGCGCTTCGGGCCTGCGCGATGCGGCGTCGAGACGTCCGTAACGCGTGCGGGGTTCCCCGGTGACGCGCGACTGCGTCTTTTCTCAGTTCCTGACGTCAGTCGAAATGGGGACCCGTTTGTCGCCACATCGATCGTGGAAGCGATTGCGACGGTCGACAGAGCCATCAACTCGACGCGGACGCACCTGTTTGACAGGTACCCGGAGGCGGGGTGGGCCCTCGCACCTGAGCCCGGGCTGTGGGCGTGCAGGCGGCGCCCGTGCACAGGTGGCCCTGTTCCGTCTGAGGGAAGCGCTGGCGTCCATCTCCCGGGGGTTAGGGTGACAGGCGCTTTCCAAGTAGAGACTGAACTATGATTCACAAATGAAACATTTTTTAAAAATTCTAGTTTGGGTTCGTTACTAAATGATTTGGCAAAAACTAAGTATTTCACAAGTAAGCTATGTATTTGTTCATGTTGGCAGATTCCAAAGTGTTTTTTCTGTGTCTGAGTTGAAGCAGAATGTCTGTTTTCTCTGTCGACCTAATTACTTACTCGTTTTTAGTGTCTGGTTTTGTTGGTTTGTTTTGTTGTCTTTCACTGGGGAAGAGTCAGGTACGGTACTGTCCTGTAAGAACAGCTATGGAAACATTAAACAGCAGTTACGTGTTTGGATGCGAGTGACCTTTGTTGTAGTAATTGTCCACTGTCCCCTTTTGCCCCTGAACCGCCAGCCGTCCCCGCTCTCCCAATGACCTGCTGGCCCTGTTCCGCTACCCGAGGGACCCCTACACGGTGGAGCAGGCACGCGCGGGGGAGATATTCGAGCGGACGCTGCAGCTGATCCAGGAGCACGTGCGGAACGGCCTCATGGTCGACCTCAACGGAACCGGTCAGTACCCAGGCTGCCCGGCCCCCCTGAGGCCCATGCACTCAGCACACCCCGGGGTGGGCCTTCTTCCCTGCCCTGTGTCTGCAGGAGAGTCAGGGTGACAGTGTGGGGTCCCTGTGTCTGCAGGAGAGTCGGGGTGACAGTGTGGGGTCCCTGGCCCCCCTGAGGCCCATGCACTCAGCACACCCCGGGGTGGGCCTTCTTCCCTGCCCTGTGTCTGCAGGAGAGTTAGGGTGACAGTGTGGGGTCCCTGTGTCTGCAGGAGAGTCGGGGTGACAGTGTGGGGTCCCTGTGTCTGCAGGAGAGTCGGGGTGACAGTGTGGGGTCCTTGAGCTGGGACAGCCCAGTGGTCCCCGCCAGGAACTGTGGGGATGAGAGGGCTATCCTTGCCCACCGTCTGTGACCGTCTGGTCCTCCAGGACAGAGGGGCTCAGAGGGACGGCTTTGCAGGGTAACAGCTACCTGAGTGTTGCTGTGTCCAGGCAGCTCCTGGAAACGGCGCTTATGGAGGGAGCTTCAGCCTCTAAAGCCCCAGTTGCTGTGAAGGTGGCATGGGGTGGCTGCCACCCCGTCACTCTGCTCCAGCATGTGGCATTGCCCATCCGTGTGCCTCTGAGGACAGTGCCAGCAGTAGCTCTCCTGTGATGTGCTACAACTGGGGGACTTAGGCTGTTTCAGGGCTTCTGACTTGTCTTTGTTGAGCACGTTTTCCCAGCGGGGCAAAAACGTCATTCAGTCGTCCTTAAATATGCGTGTGTGAGGTGAGGGAGGCGGGGTGCTGGGGGTCACTGCTCCCATCTTGGCGCGGGGTCCTCAGCACTGCCATGTGTGGGGCCTGTTTGTGCCTGGCTTCCTGGCGCTGGTGAACTGTGTGCAGACGCCTCCTGGGGCCAGGGTGGCTGCGCCACCCCCTCCCCACCTCAGCGCACAGGCGCCCTGGGAGATGTGTTGGACCCTTCCGTTCTGTCTACAGGCTCCCTTGGCACAGAGCTGGCACCAGGGACGGGGCGGCTCTGCAGGCTGTCCCTGCGGTGCTCCCAGCCTTTCCCCCACCCTGTCTGGACCACCTTCCTCCCTGTGGAGGGCCTGCCGGGTTGCCTGGGGTTATTTCTCGCTATTACCCCTTGTCTTCATCTGGGCCACAGCTCAGATGTTTGAACAGTGCAGTGGTGGCCTCAGCGTGTGGGTCTGAATCTTCCATGTCCACATGTGCTGTTTACAGACGTGCTTTCGGACACTGCGAGAGGCTAAAGGAAGAGTGAGACCATCGGCCCTCGCAGGCTGAGGTGATTCTATGTTTCTTGTCATCTAGAGCAGTTATGGGGTGCACACGCACCCACCCACTCATTCATTCATCCATGCCTCTTTCGCACATGCGTGTTGGGTGCAAAAGGTGACATTTGAGTAGAGGCCCAGCTATGCCACATCCACCGGAAGGGTGTTCTGGGTAGAAGGGACACAGGGTCCTGGCCATGTTTGGGGTATTTGGGGAAGAGCAGGCTGTCTGCGGTGGCTGGAACAGGAAACAAGGTGGGAAGGTTTCGGGGTGCCTGCTGAGACCCCCGGGAGGTGGGGCGAGTATTTTGTCCTCTGCTATGGGTGACATGGGAGCCACACATTCTGGCAGAGAAGTGACGTGATTTTACGGGGGTTGGGTTGTTGGGTGACAACACCATGAGGGACTGAAGGCAGATGCCGGAAACCCAGCAGGAAGGGGGGTGACAGTGCTGGGACCAGGGTGCCCAGTGAGGAGGGTTCTGGGTATGACGGCTGAAGTGACATCTCTGGTACTAGGATGTAGGGGTGAGAGAGGACTCAGGATGACTCCCCGTGGCAGGAAGACAGGAGCTGACGTTTGGTGACCTAGGCACATTGGGCTGTGGGTTTAGGAGATGGGGGGGTGTCTCACCTCTAGACACACAGGTGTGCACTTGCAGTGTCACCTCTAGGCTGCCTGTGTCCTTGTCCTGCAGACCTGGGTGTGACAGCTTGCTAGGGAAGAAAACGACTTTTTTCACTAACGCTATTTCTCAGAATTTTTTTGTCGCAAAACATTCATTTGGTCCATTCCCTGATTCTTGGATTTATGTCTTTTCTTACATTTCGACATTTTAGTCACAGTCGTCTGGGTTCTGATACAGTTCTCATTTCTGGAGTGAACTAGAGTGTGAATGCGGCTAGACATTCAGGGCATTTTGCAGAGTTCTGGGGAGCGTCTCATTTCCAGAAGGCTCTTGCGCACCTGGTTTTGGAAATGGGTTTGGTCTTGTAGCCTGTATCAGTGAGACTCCAGGAGGCTCTGGTTCCTTAAAGCACAGCAGACATCTTCCAGTGTCACGGCGGTTGTGTCTGTGCCTGCCCGGGTGTGGTGCCTGCCCTCTGCCTGGGCTCCGCCCGGGAAGGTGGCCAGAGGAACTGGACCACCACACTCCGGCTCGGTCACTGGCAAACCTGCAGCGATGAGATGCAGGGAACGTGTAGGAGGAAGCGGTTTTTTCCTGGCTCTGTGACGTGTAAACAGAACATTCTCACTTCCTAAGTGACTGTGAACAGAGCCAGACGCCCATGTCACTGCCCTGGTCACTGGGAAGCGCAGCTGCGAGGCTCAGGTGTGAGTGCTGTCGCCCCGGGGGCCGGCGCAGAGCCGCTGTCTGGGGACACAGAGGCCTGAGCACGGGCCTGGGCTGAAGTGTCAGCCGTGGAGTGCAGCCTGCAGTGAGGAGAGCCCGCTTAGAGCGGTCTGCCAGGCCGACCTGTCAGAGTTGCTTCCCCAGTGGACAGTCTGAGGTCCTGGGCAGAAAGACGAGCTCATCAGAGCTGGTGGGGACATGGGAGGGCATGTCCTTGTGGGGGCCTCTGAGACAGCAAGATACCCCGGGATGAGATTCCCTGGGTGTGCACCTGGTGGTGAGGTCTGTGGGGTCATTAAGTGAAGTGGAAAGCGTGGCCTGGGCTCACGGGCAGGGCTCCATTAGACTTGGAGCGGGTCAGCTTTGTGGGGCCGGGTCCAGGCCGAGGCCTCCCGAGATGCGGGAAGGTGTGCAGGGCCCGGGTCCAGGGCAGTAAGCTCGTCCACTCTCCCCCCAGGCTACCACTACAACGACCTGGTGTCCCCACAGTACCTGAGCCTCATTGCCAACCTGTCAGGCTGCACGGCCCACCGGCGCGTGACCAACTGCTCGGACATGTGCTTCCACCAGAAGTACCGCACGCACGACGGCACGTGCAACAACCTGCAGCACCCCATGTGGGGCGCCTCGCTCACCGCCTTTGAGCGCCTGCTCAAGTCCGTGTATGAGAACGGCTTCAACACCCCGCGGGGCGCCAACCCCGGCCGGCTGTACCATGGGCACGCGCTGCCCATGCCCCGCCTGGTGTCTACCACGCTCATGGGCACGGAGGCCATCACCCCCGACGCGCAGTTCACCCACATGCTCATGCAGTGGGGCCAGTTCCTGGACCACGACCTGGACTCCACGGTGGTGGCGCTGAGCCAGGCGCGCTTCTCCGACGGCCAGCACTGCAGCACCGTGTGCGGCAGTGACCCGCCCTGCTTCTCGCTCGCCGTGCCCCCCAACGACCCGCGCGTCAGGAACGGGGCGCGCTGCATGTTCTTCGTGCGCTCCAGCCCCGTGTGCGGCAGCGGCCTCACCTCCCTGCTCATGAACTCCGTGTACCCGCGGGAGCAGATCAACCAGCTCACCTCCTACATCGACGCCTCCAACGTCTACGGGAGCTCGGCGCACGAGGCCCGCGCCCTCCGCGACCTGGCCGGCCAGCGCGGGCTGCTGCGCCAGGGCGTCGTGCAGCGCTCGGGGAAGCCACTGCTGCCCTTCGCCGCCGGGCCGCCCACCGAGTGCATGCGGGACGAGAACGAGAGCCCCATCCCCTGCTTCCTGGCGGGCGACCACCGCGCCAACGAGCAGCTGGGCCTGACGAGCATGCACACGCTGTGGTTCCGCGAGCACAACCGCGTGGCTGCCGAGCTGCTGGCGCTGAACCCGCACTGGGACGGCGACACCATCTACCACGAGGCGCGCAAGGTGGTGGGCGCGCAGGTGCAGCACATCACCTACCAGCACTGGCTCCCCAAGGTGCTGGGCGAGGTGGGCATGAAGATGCTGGGCGAGTACCGCGGCTACGAGCCAGGCGTCAACGCCGGCATCTTCAACGCCTTCGCCACGGCCGCCTTCCGCTTCGGCCACACGCTCATCAACCCCGTGCTGCACCGGCTGGACGAGCGCTTCCAGCCCATCGCGCAGGGCCACGTGCCGCTGCACCGGGCCTTCTTCTCCCCCTTCCGCATCGTCCACGAGGGCGGCATCGACCCGCTGCTCCGCGGCCTGTTCGGCGTGGCCGGCAAGATGCGTGTGCCCTCCCAGCTGCTGAACACAGAGCTCACCGAGCACCTCTTCTCCATGGCGCACACGGTGGCGCTGGACCTGGCCGCCATCAACATCCAGCGGGGCCGCGACCACGGCATCCCCCCCTACCACGACTACCGCGTCTACTGCAACCTGTCGTCCGCCCACACCTTCGAGGACCTGAAAAACGAGATCAGGAACCCTGAGATCCGAGAGAAGCTCAGGCGGTGGGTGAGGGACCCCGGGACCCCGAGATCCGGGAGAAGCTCAGGCGGTGGGTGAGGGGCCCTAGGACCCCGATATCCAGGAGAAGCTCAGGCGGCGGGTGAGGGGCCCACTGTGCGTCTTGTCTGTGACTGTCGGGCGGGCAGAGAGAGCCGGCCCCAGGCGCGGATGCGGTGGTGCCGGTTTGTTCGCGTGGCTGAGGTTTGGTTTTTGCAGTTGGGAGGTCAGGTAAGAGAAGCTGGTGGAGGTGGATTCCAATCAGGAACAGTGGGGATGGCACGTGGCCCAGGAGACGCCTTTGGTGGCTGTCTTGGTGCAGGGAGGGAGCTGGCAGCGTGGTGATTGCAGCCACGTCTGAGAGTTTTGAGTAGAGAGTTTCTAACATGGCGGGGGCCTGATAGGAGAGAGGAGGAGAGGGGTTTGCAGGGGACAACACCAGGCTGCGTCTGTCGGGGCTTTGGGAGGAGACGCTGCCATCACGTCAGGACCCGGGCTTGGCACTGGCCCAGTGGGGCCCTGGGGCACCAGCTCCTGAGGCTTAGCTGGCAGCCCCTCCCCAAGCTCACCACGTGGCCCAGGCTGCTGTCTGTGGCCCAGGGAGTCTGCAGGCGTCCAGGCAGCGGCTTCAGCCCATGGCGGGAGCAGGTCTCAGTGGCCCGCGGTGATGGACGTGGGAGGACTGCACGGGCCAGATCAGCCCCTTCCGCTCGCGGCAAGGCAGAGCCTGGCACAGCCGGTCACGTCACTGCTGCGGCCGGGGCGGTCCCAGTTATGGGACACCTTTAGAGAATCTAGTTGGGCTTTGAATAGCATTTGAAACGTTCTTTGAATTTCTAAGATCAGGTAAGAGTGATCTGCCACAGGAGTGTCAGCTTTTCCCTCGTAAGTGTGTTTCTAAGGAATGCAAAGAATTTGACGAAAGTGTTGGCCTTTGCCACCTCAACCTCTTATATCATCTCCGCTTAGTGAATGTTTGTAGCAAGTGTGTTTTCAATATGTAGTAAAACCCCGTTGTTCTTAAAAACGGGTCTGCAATTGTATGTAGTTCATTGTTCACATTTATTTACGGAAAAAGGTCTGGGAGAGTTTACAAGTATGATTATCCCTGGTTAGCAAGAGAAGCGTGGTTTTAATTTTCCTGTTTTCTTGGCTTTTCCACACTTACAAGGAATACGTTTGTGTGTTTTATGTGTGTAGCTATGAATAGAAAATAGGAGAAATTATTTAATTTAACAAATAGATGTTTTCAAGAAAAATATTTTTTTGTTACATGAAGGTCTGAATAATGGAAAATAACGATAGAAAAAAATGAGGGTTTTTTCCACATTTGCCGCGAGCTTCTCCAGGTGCAGCGTGTCGCATACACCTCTGGCTTCACCCCTTTCTGTGCAGGTTGTACGGGTCCCCGCTCAACATCGACCTATTCCCGGCCCTCATGGTGGAAGACCTGGTCCCCGGCAGCCGCTTGGGTCCCACCCTGATGTGCCTGCTGAGCACGCAGTTCCGGCGCCTGCGGGACGGGGACAGGTGCGCGTGGTGCTGGGGACTTGGGGAGGGCGTTGGTGGGGACGGGGACATGGCTTTGGCCCCCATGGTTCTGTGACGGCCGCAGCGGCCGGGGCTGACCTGTCACTACAGCAGCAGAGCGAGCGATCCCAACTCAGAGGTGCTTCCGTGTCCTTTGAGCTGTCAAGAATGTTTGTTTCTGGGGACGAGCGTCCAGCCCAGGGCCACCCCATAGTGGGGGCACAGGGGAGTGCCAGCTCTGTAGGTCACACCGGCCAGTCTGTGATGCCTCGGTCCGTGGTGGGACACAGCCCTGCCTGTCGCTACGCAGGGCTGCGGGGCTGTGTGCCACGTGGCTCACTGAAGGCAGCGCGTGCCACGGTGCGGCCATGTCTGCCGCCGTCCGGGCCGCTCTGCCGAGTGGGACGCGTGGGTGACACTCAGTCCACTGCGAAGGGTCGCCCGGTTGGCCGCAGTGCGGCGGGGCTGCTTGGGTTCTGCTCCCATGGCCCGAGTCCTGATCGTGTGCTCGTTCTGGCTCGCAGGCTGTGGTACGAGAACCCGGGAGTGTTCTCTCCGGCCCAGCTGACGCAGATCAAGCAGACGTCCCTGGCCAGGATCCTGTGTGACAACTCGGACAACATCACGCGCGTGCAGAGGGACGTGTTCAGGGTGGCGGAGTTCCCCCACGGCTACGGCAGCTGCGAGGACATCCCCCGGCTGGACCTGCGCGTGTGGCAGGACTGCTGTGAAGGTGGGCGCCCCGCCCGTGCTGGAGAGCGGGACGGTGTCACCAGGGCAGTGACAGCGGGAACGTGGGACGCGGGGCTGTGGAGTGATAACCGCGGCCCCAAGTACGAGAGCCGCAAACCGGACGCGCGGCTCCGCACCCGCTTCTCCCAGACTCACGTGCGTCCGAGCGCCTGTGCGTGGTCTGGGTCTCCGCGCCCACGGAGACACGGGAAAGCAGCGTAGCCAGAGTCAGGGCTGAAGCGTAGCTGCGGGCACGAGGCGGCCTGGTCGTCGGGGCAATGCCGGGTGTGCCCGCCCAGCTCACGGGCCACCGTCCTCCCTCTGTGGCCCCTGCTTTACCCCCGAAACCCCACTCTTGGCAAACTTGGGCTTTCTTTTCCTGACTGGGACGTAATCGTGGCCGTGTTCAGACTTGGGCCAGAGGCCATAGGGTGTTAAAAGCTGGGAGACCTTTAGGCGCCATCCCATGTAACTCTGCTCCTCTGTGCTGGGGACAACAGGCCACACAGCCTGAGCATGGCAGGGGGGGCCGGAGCCAGCACCCTTGGCGCAGGCGTCCCCCACCTCCGTCCCGAAGGAGTGCTTCTTACTAGCGGGGGTTCGTCTTGACTGGCCGTTACATGCGTCAGTAAGTACAGGAACCTGGGTTGACGTTTTGGGTGTTTTCAACGTCATCTGTGTGCATGTGACTGAGTATGATCTGGTTTTGTGTCTGCTTCTGTCTCTGCTCTCTCTGTGTGTGTGCGTGTGTGTGTATAAATGTTACGCATGCAAGAGAAACCACCCTGAAATGAGCAGGGTTGTCACCTGGTCCGTCTTCAGAAAGTGCGTGACGTCAGCTTGTCCCATCATAGATGACACTGATTAGGAGAATGTGGTGTGAATGTGGTGTCTGCCCCAAAGGGGCGGGGTGAGAGACGTGAAGCCATAAACACTGTTCATGTTAGGGAGACACACTTTGCCTGTGACGACAGCCCCGAGACGCCCAACTGGACTGTGAGGTCTTTGGCCCCCAGGACCCCGAGCTGTCCCCCGTGGAAGCAGGCGTGGGGCGGGCTTACAGCCAGCGGTGCGACTTGGGGCTGCGGGCTTCTGCTTGCCCAGAACTGGCCCGTGTGTTCCCACCGAAATGCGCTTCCGCGGGTGGAACTGGGCATGGGCCCTCTGCGCTGGGACGTGACCAGCCAGCTCCTGAGACAAGGCACAGGACACGGAGAAGAATCTCCTGTGAGCTTTGTCACGGGGGCATGGTGGGCGAGTCACCGAAGAGCAGCGTGGGGAGGTGCGCCCGGCAGCCTCAGTCTGTGTGTCCTGTGCTTTTCTCGTGCAGTTACTACCCCCGGCACCAGGAGATGTCAGATTTGAGAAGGGCCTGTGTGGCCTTGGCCAGGCCTGTCCCGGGCTCTGTTCTGGGGGTTACATGTTGTATGGCACTCCAGAGCGTGAGTGCCTCTGGCCAAGGGGAGGATGACGCCCCAGGCGTGGCCTTGGGGACTGGTGCAGGGTGGGAGGACGGGGGCACAGTGTGTGACTGGAGGAGGGTGTGCCAGAGGGGCCAGCTGTCATTAGAGAGGCGAAGGCCTGGCACCTGGGAACCTGTGGGTGCTGTCCATGCCTGGCTTGCCTGTGGAGGGAGGGACAAGGTCTGCGCAGGTGGTTCCTTGACCGCTGCTGGCTGTGAATCACTGCCATTTGTCATAGGCGTGCCAGAAAGTCCACCGTTTGCCAAGGTGTGTCAAATGTCACCTAAAACTAGTGGTTGGCCACTAACGTGTCCCTTGAACTTCTTTCCTAGACTGCAGGACCAGGGGACAGTTCAGCGCATTCTCGTATCATTTTCGAGGCAGGCGGTCCCTTGATTCCAGCTACCCGGAGGACAAGCCCGTGAGAACAGGGCCTGGGAAGACACCGAGGTAGGGCTGGTCCTGGGGGCCGGGCTGTTGGCACTGCGGGGTGGTCTCGGCCCTGGACGGGCACAGGTGCTCAGCAGGACCTGCTGGGTACGTGTGTGTTGGCTCTGGTGGTGACTTGCTGAGATCGCGTTCTTTTCCCTCTGTCTTTTGTGCAGTGTTGGGAAACACAGCAAGCACCCCGGGAACGCCACGTCCGCCCCCGATGAGCAGCCACAGGTACCAGGGACAAGTGACTTCAGGGACTTCGTTCTGGAGATGCAGAAGACCATCACGGACCTCAGGACACAGGTACCGGTGCCCGAAGCCCTGTCATCCTCCAGCACATGTTGTATTTCTGATGACAGATTCTGTCTTCATGACTTTGAGGAGCATCTTCTGCCCATTGCTCCTGCCCTGTGGCCCAGGGGACATCACCTTCCCTGCTGGCTTATCTTGGGCTGGGCCATGCAGAGCCCCTGGGATTCCTGGTGATCGGGCCCCTCTGATGACCAAGGCACCCTGAGTTAGAGGATGCTGGGTCTCAGGTCTTCTCTGGGGGTCTGCAGGGTTGGGGACATGAGCGTCCCCTGCCCCCCACCCAGTGAGCTAATTCCTGCCATGTCCAGCTGATTCCAGACAGCAGGGGAAGAATCGTCGCCTGGAGCCAGAGACGAGCCCAGGCTCCAACGGGCATGGACGAACTGGTGCCCAGCCCGGGAGGGTGGGTGCTGCAGGCCCTGAGGGCGGGCAGTCTGTGACCCTGTGCCCACCGGTGCCCGTGGTGTCACGATGAGACCGTGTGAGGCACCCATGCTCTTCGGGCACATGCGTCCAGATTTCAGGGCAGGGGCTGCTCACCTCGGCGGAGGCATCGGGTTTCCAGAGCGTCAGGTCTGGTAGCTCTGGCATCAGCACCTCTAGCACACTGGTGGCTGTCACTTCAGCTCCGGGGACCCCCAGAGTGACTGCCTCCCTGGAGGTGAATCTTAGGTGGCGGGACTGCAGGTGGAGTCGTGACAGATCTGAGGGACCGGGCAGTTTTGACCCCGGGCAGTGCGATGTTGCAGGTGGAGGGTGGACAGTCCCAGGGTTTGGGACCTTCTTGGCTATGGCAGGCCGTGACGTGGGGTGAGGGGACACCACTCTGACTTAAATGACGTGGTTGGCCCGTGTGCCAGATGTGCTGATGCCACCCTCGTCCTTCGTCAGTGCGGCAGGTTGCCCCCAGCTGCAGACACTTTGTCAGGACGCGTTAGGAGAAGTAGGTCGCGTGTGTGGTGCCTGCGTCTGCTCCACTCTCTGCCGTTGGCGGAGGGCTGGCGCCTGGGACGCCTCCCCAGTGGTGCTGGTATGGAGGCGGCATGACCTGTTCTCCCTCGGAGGCTGGAAGGGCGTGGGCAGGGCTGGCAGATGCTCCAGGCGCAGACACCCAGCATCCCTGCCCCTGCCCGCGAGGCGCACGAAGGACAGGCCCTGCTGCAGGGGAGACCTGCCGTTGGGGACTGGTGGCCGGGACAGCGGTCCCGCCCTCCAGGGGCTCGCGCCCGCAGTCCTGCAAGAGCGGCTCTGGGCGTCCTGGCTGCTCACTTCATTTTGCAGCAGGGTGAGGTGTCAGGGTGAGGCGGACGGTGCCACATTTGAGGCTTCGTCAAAGTTCTTCACAAACATTTGTCTCCAGCCCTGCGTCCCCACCCCCCACCAGGCCTTGTCCTGCAGGGGAACAGGCGGGATGGTGGACTGGCCACCACGAGTGACCGTGCACGCTTGGCTTTGTAGATAAAGAAGCTGGAGTCACGGCTCAGCACGGCCGGGTGCGCAGACGCGGGCGGGGACGCGCACGCCGACGGCGCCAGGTGGAAGCGGGACGCGTGCACCCGCTGCGAATGCCATGTGAGTAGGGCCTGCACCGAGCCCCCCGCTGGGCGTCGGCGGTCAACAAGGCCCTGCACCCTGCGGGCCTGTCCCCCGCTGTGGTTCAGAGTCGGCCTGTGCGCCTGGCCCCGGGCAGCCACGGAGGTCACCCCGGCAAGGAGCCCCGGGTCCCCAGGGAAGGTGGCTGGGTGGGAAGCGTTGGGCACAGGAGGACAGAGGGCCAGCCCGGGTGCCTTCCCTGCAGCCTGGGACAGGGTGGGTGCCCCTGGTGTGGGAAGGACAGAGCAGGGGTCGTGTCCACGTGGCTGCTCTGTAGTCTGGTCTCCTGTCAGAGTCAGCAGACGTCATCTCAGGCCCAGGATGGAGAAGTGAGAGGAGCCTGTGTCCCAGGGAACCCTCGGTGCAGGGGGACAGTGGGCGGGGCGCCGGAGGCCATGCAGCTGTAGTTGTCAGTCACCCCCTTGTCATAGAGGCTGCCCGAGCAGACTGGACCAGGCGCAGTCCAGTGGGAGTGGGCGGTGGGGCGGTAACTGCCCAGGGGCCCAGGGGCTGAATGTCCTGGCGCCATCTCTTCTCCAGGACGGGCAGATCACCTGCTTCGTGGAGGCCTGCTCGCCGGTCGCGTGCCCAGCGCCTGTGAGAATCAGCGGAGCCTGCTGCCCCGTCTGCCCAGATGACAGCCCGAGAAAGCAGCCGCCGACCCCGTGACATTGCCCAGAGCCCTCCGCGCATCCCCTGCAGGCCACTGGCCGGCCAGGCGGTGCAGGCTGGAGCACGTCAAGGACTCACGGCACCTGGCCACATCGCCGGGGCCATCTCAGAGATGGTGCAGGGGCTTCGGCCGGAGCTCTCACTGGCGGAGGCCACGCGGGTGGGAGCAGACATGAGTCCGACTTCATGTTAGATCCTCAGGTTTTATTTAAGTTTTTGATGAGAAATCGGTGCTATTAAACCGCACAGTTAAATCGTTCAGGCTCCTCGGCTGATTCCCGTCAAACCGCTACTCGTTCCCACCTGGACATTGGCCCAGGCAGTCGCCTGCATCCGGGGCTGCACACCGGAGCCACCAGGAAGAGGAGCCGCCGAAGGACACCAGAGTTTGACAGACGGGACAGTCTCCGTGAGGGTGTCCAGGTGGCACTGGCTCCTGGCGCCCCAGTGTGACACCTGACAATGTTCCTCTGGTGTCCCACCAGCCCACATGCTCCAGCCTTCACAGGACAGACGTCCCCGCTGCCTGCACTCGTGTACACCACGTCCTCTCTGCTCCCCACACGTGACCGTGCGGTGACCAAGGCACATTCGGAATCAGGTTTGTCTTCACGCTGACCTGCGTGCGTCCTGCCAGTCGTGGGCCAGACGTGGGACGTCCCTGCCGTCACGGGCACGTGGTGCCACTGGGTACCACGTTCGTGCCGTGGGGCTGGCCCAGGCCGGGTGCACGGAAGACTCAGGAGGCTGCCAGTTCTCCTTCTGCCTGGAGGAATTCTAACGCTGGGGACTTTGGAACTTTGGGGGCGGGGGTGCGTTCAGGAAACCAGAGTCCCTCCCTGAACCTCGTTTGTGTGTTCAGAGCACGTGACCTTTTACGAAAGTTTGCCCGTGTCTCAGTGTCAGGTAGGGCAGAGAAATCGCTCACACTGTGCGGAAGTCCTCTCAGAATTCAGTGAAAACCAACCATCGTACCTCACGCCATTTAACCAAAACGCTATTTTGTTCCGAATACGAAGTGACTTACGTTGAGAAGCGCGCCCGTCACGTGAGTTTGGTTCCACAGATCTTTACCTGAGTACCCACTGTGTGCTGGACACAGGCGAGGGACCGCCGGCCCTTCCTATGGGAAGGCCCCTGGGGACGTGGGCGCTTTGGGTACACGGTGGGGCAGTCTACCCTTGGTGGCACTGTGCTAAGACCGTTACCATGGTGAGAGGGAGGCAAGTCCTCTTGCAGTGTCCAGCGGGCAGTGGGCAGTCACAGCCTGTTTGTCCCGTGCAGGAGGCCCCCGAGCTCCGCACGGGCTGCCCCGTCCCTGGGGAAGGCATCAGCATCCTGCCATTTAACCCACATCAAGCCATTTGCAGTGGGTTTAAGCTTGGTCGGCTGGACCTCTCAGCCTTGTCCCCGAGTGACAGACAAAGCCGATGTTGTTTCATGGAGCATGGGACTTGAAATATCAAGTCAAATTTAGTAATCAGACCTCAGAACCAATTTTTGTAAACTAGAAAATGGAGTGCTTTGTCTAAAACTTGGTGGTTTGGGGAGTGGCTCGGCTGTGACGCAGCAGTGAGTCCCGGCTCCGCGGGCGTGTGGGTGTTGTAGGTGCTGGGAGTCTTACCGTGGCTGTGTTGCAGAGGTGACGAGCATGTGAGTTGAGCCATGTGCCTTGGGCAAGGGTCAGAGGGTCACACTCTAAACTGAAGGAGGTTGTGGATCCCGGTAGGACCCTGTGACAGCCGCTGAGGTGGCAGCAGAAGCAGTGGCTCAGTCTCACGTGCGGGGTGGGGCGGCGGGCGGGCTGGGTGGACCGCAGCAGCCACCGTCGGGATTGCTGTGGCAGGAGCAGAGCGTACGTGTTTATTTACTGTTCTTACCGTTGCCAGCAGCCAGGTGCCTTTTTACGGTCTCTGTAACCAGTACGTCACCAAAGAAACGTTTGCACTGTGTAACGATGCCTTTCCAGTCGAATAAAGGGGCTGCGACCTCCGACGGGGGTGGCGTTGTTCTTTCCCCTCACCCGCCGCCCGCCACAGGCAGCCAAGCGACGGCCCCTGCTTGGCCTCGGCCTGGTTTCCGTCCCCCGCGGGCAGCGGCGCCCGTGCCAAACTGGGAAGACCGTCCAGCCAGATGGGCCGGCCCGAGGCCGCCGCCCCTCGGTGGGAGGTGAGCGCACCTGCACGCCCAGTCCGTACCCCCAAGCCACGTGCCAGCTCGGACCCAGCACTGCAGCGGCAGAGCCAGCGGGGCCTCTGCCTGGGGACCGGAGAGGCCGGCCCCGGAGTGCGCTCCATGCTCCCCGCACCCTGCCGCCCCTCCCAGCCCACGTGGGTGTATGCGCAGGCGGGCTTCCGTGTCGTGGGTTGGCGTGCGGTGCCCATAGCAGCCAACAAGTGACCGTGTGACACGGCGGCCACACCCCATCAGGCTGCTGTCTGACTCACGTGGCTCACTCACACACTCCCGGGTGCTCTGGGCTGGTGTCTGCGGCAAAGGCACGGGCCACGCTCAGTCCTGCTGGGGACAACGGCCGGAACCGCATGGCCCATAAGCCCCTCTGGTGGCCCCGGCCACCGCGGAGCCTTTTCCATGTTGCCGCCTGAGGGTCTTGCTCCCTGCGCTGCCCCCACGTCTCCCGCGTCACCGCTTCCTCCAGCCACCGGCAGCCCGCAACCACACGCTGGCCATTCCAGGCGTCTCGGCCAGGCCGCCACGCCCTCCGTAGACCTGCCTGCCGTCACAGCCAAAGTGCCTCCTTCCTGCCACCATGTCTCGTCTCCTGGCTAATGGCTCCCAGCACTTAGGCCAACAAACACGAACCCCCTGGCTCACCGTTCACTGGTGCTGTGGTGAAGGGCTCAGGGCCGAATGCCCGCTACGAGCCGGCGGTCACGACGGAAGCCCAGACCAGGGTCGTTTGGAGAGATGGGCATCTGCCTCTTCCAAGTCAAGCATCTGCTCCTGTCCTCGGGGGACGTGTGTCCTCATGCTCACAGGGTGGCTGCCAGGGCCCCGGCCATTGTCTGTTGCGAGCGGCAGGAAGGATCAAGGGCCTAGAGTAAGTCGGTGCCGCTGGTTGAGTTTGTCCTCTTTGATGACATTCCACATGAATCTCACCAAGGGCTCCACGTCCACCCCTCACCCAGCACCGTGGCACATGTCTGCAGGACGGGCTGAGCTGTGGAGTCAGTTTTCAAATGGGTGATGGCCACCTACGAAATTGCAAAAGATCCTGTTAAAAAATTGCCACAGATGGTTTTTGTTTGCGTCTGTCTCTGAGTTTCATGCCTTAGGAAG